GCAACTCAGAAGTTGTCTTATTTTTTAATGTGCTCGCCCTTAAAAGGGCATCTAACACGTTGTATTGTGGTTTACAACTAGGCTGCGATATCTGTCTGTGCCTTTTGACAAAACGCACATACTTGCTATGGGCAGTGAGTCTACTGTCCCCCCCCCCCCCCACCTTTTTCCACCCTTTGGGCCCCAGAATACACACGTAAAACTGGAGAATCTACCTACCGTCCAATAATCTTGTGTAATGAGTTACTTTCATTGTGTAGCAGATAACTGTTATAACCTGTTACGTTGAACCTGTATTGTTTTATCTGAGCCTATGAATGGATTACTGATTCAAAAATCCACATCACAGCCAACCTAGCACCCCTATAGATGCCCCGTCTTCGCAGAAAATATCTTTAGGCAGCAGTTCCCAGCAAAATCAGACCCGCAAATCCCTCATATTGTCGAATGCTTGCCACAGGCGCCCTACTTGTTAATAGTCACAGGTAAAATGAAAAATAAAAATGAAAGGTAAATCCATAATGAACCAGCACATTGGCAACTATGAACTTCTTTTAACTACAGTGAAAAGACGGGAAATGCTATGGTACGGACATGTAATAAGATTTAACGGCCTCTCCGGAACAATACTGCAGGGCTCAGAAGAGGAAAAGGGGAGAAGAGGCAGACCAAGAAATAAATGGATACAAAACTTCGCTGACTTAGGTAGGCATGCAACTCTTAAGTCCATCGCATCTGACCGTCAAGGGTGAAGAGAGCTGGCCAGGCATTCAACAGAAACTGGTGACCCAAAGATATGCAATGTTACGAGACGATGATGAAATCTATATTAGAATTAATAAAAAAAATTATCTTCTTCTTCTTCTTCTTCTTCTTCTTCTTCTTCTTCTTCTTCTTCTTCTTCTTCTTCTTCTTCTTCTTCTTCTTCTTCTTCTTCTTCTTCTTCTTCTTCTTCTTCTTCTTCTTCTTCTTCTTCTTCTCCTTCTTCTTCTTCTTCTTCTTCTTCTTCTTCTTCTTCTTCTTCTTCTTCTTCTTCTTCGCGTTCACCAGCTGTACACTCTGATGGAAAGTTCTGGTTGTTCGTCCACTTCTGAACTGCAGTCCTGCTCCAAAATTATTTTTTTTCCTCATAAATTATTTAACGGACCCCTTAATTTTTATGTCTCGCGGACCCAAGGATTCAGTTGGGAACCATCGTCATTGTTGAAGCTTTATGTACCCGTAGCAGATTGGTTGTACACACGTCACACTGTTCTTATTATGTTATGTTATCTTATCACAATCGACGTCACTGAACACTGGGCATTCCCATGCTTGCTCAGTCCTCTGATGCAGCAGCCACTCCAAAGTACTTCTACTAATTGTTCCCATGAGAAGCTAGTATATTGTCTCCTATCTCGGCCTTAAAGACGGCATAGACGTGTTTCACCTTGCTTTACTTCCTGTTAGTGTCAGGGATTCCTCATTATCCACTAGCCCAGTCCGTGCATCGTTCACGATATCTGCTCTGTCCATGCTTTTTCCCACGTGCCTTGGTGCAGTGCTTGCCAGTTAGTCCGCTCGCTCATTTCCCTTTACGCCCGCATGACCCGGTGTGTAGATCCATGTAAGGAAAAGAGGGGGGGGGGGGGGGTTTAAGCGTGATTTTCGAATGCTTTCTATCCATTCATAGAGCATACCGCTTGTTGCTATATTCTGAAGCATAGTCATGGTCTTTGTGGCGGTTTGCTCGGATACCCATGCTAATGCTCTAGAAGCAGCAGATATTTCCATTGTCATGCTAGACGTGGTTGTCTGGGAAGCGCCGCTGTCCTCATGTATCTCCATTATTTGCGCTGTGCATGCCCATGCTGACCTTGATCCGCGCTTCACGGATCCATCTGTGTGATCCATATGATATCTTCTGAGTCTGAATGCTGATCTATCAGTTCCCTTATCTCTTCCTAGTGTGATGACGACTTTAGAGATGCCATGCATGTCTACTGGTGTATTCGTCCTTTCTTTCCTGTGACTGATCACGTCTAGGTCACATACCTGCTGGATTAAATCCTCATCCTTTGCCATCCACGAGCGGCCTCTTTAGAGACGTGTTCCTTTTGTGTCGTGTATAGCTTTGTGCAGTGGGTGGATAACGTCTGCTGATACCCTCATGTACGCCTTGACCTGTGCGACTTTGTATTTGCTAGTCATCGTCGGCAAACCCACTGTTCTTTGTTGTACACACATCGTACTCTTCTTGGTTGTACACACATCGTACTGTTCTTGGTTGTACACGCATCGTACTGTTCTTGGTTGTACACACATCGTACTCTTCTTGGTTGTACACGCGTCGTACTGTTCTTGGTTGTACACGCGTCGTACTGTTCTTGGTTGTACACACATCGTACTGTTCTTGGTTGTACACGCATCGTACTGTTCTTGGTTGTACACACATCGTACTGTTCTTGGTTGTACACGCATCGTACTGTTCTTGGTTGTACACACATCGTACTGTTCTTGGTTGTACACACGTCGCACTGTTCTTGGTTGTACACACATCGTACTCTTCTTGGTTGTACACACATCGTACTGTTCTTGGTTGTACACACATTGTACTGTTCTTGGTTGTACACACATCGTAATGTTCTTGGTTGTACACACATCGTACTCTTCTTGATTGTACACGCATCGTACTGTTCTTGGTTGTACACACATCGTACTGTTCTTGGTTGTACACACATCGTACTCTTCTTGGTTGTACACGCATCGTACTGTTCTTGGTTGTACACACATCGTACTGTTCTTGGTTGTACACACGTCGCACTGTTCTTGGTTGTACACACATCGTACTCTTCTTGGTTGTACACACATCGTACTGTTCTTGGTTGTACACACATCGTACTGTTCTTGGTTGTACACACGTCGCACTGTTCTTGGTTGTGCACACGTCGTACTGTTCTTTGTTGTACACACATCGTACTGTCCATGGTTGTACACACGTCGCACTGTTCTTGGTTGTACACACATCGCACTGTTCTTGGTTGTGCACACGTCGTACTGTTCTTGGTTGTACACACATCGTACTGTTCTTGGTTGTACACACATCGTACTGTTCTTGGTTGTACACACATCGTACTGTTCTTGGTTGTACACACATCGTACTGTTCTTGGTTGTACACACATCGTACTGTTCTTGGTTGTACACACGTCGCACTGTTCTTGGTTGTACACACATCGTACTGTTCTTGGTTGTACACACGTCGTACTGTTCTTGGTTGTACACGCATCGTACTGTTCTTGGTTGTACACACATCGTACTGTTCTTGGTTGTACACACATCGTACTCTTCTTGGTTGTACACACATCGTACTGTTCTTGGTTGTACACGCGTCGTACTCTTCTTGGTTGTACACACGTCGTACTGTCTATCTAAGCCCGATCCTATCTCGTTAAGGGTATTAACAGTATCGGCGCGATGTATTAGCAATCAAGACAGAGCCGGCCAGTCTGTCAACTCTTTCGTTGCCAACAACATCCGCATGTCCTGGGCCAATGATAAAGGTAACTCCAGGCACGTTGGAAATTTGGTTTGACAGTTCATATTTTGTCTACAGACCAGGCCTCGAACTGATAAATCATGCTCGTTGAATCACTCAGTGCACACACGTTAGAGTAACCCGGTGATTCCAGCTTTATGACACAGAGAATGTGTACGCCATCACCCTCATTGTCGTTCTGGTCAGAAAGTTTGTAATTGAAGCGGCAAAAGACTTTAAAATATGGAAGCCAGACACTGAAATATGAACCCCAAAATGTAAAACCATCGTTTGCTATGAAAAAGAACATACTTTATACATTAATCATCACAGATTTTGTACTGCTAGCCATCACTGCAAACATCGTCGCTCGGTTTTTCGTGAACATTGTGAAAATCTGTTAACGTACTTACCAAAATTAATTCCAACAAGAAAAATCTTGAAAATCTTCACCACAAATCCCATCATTACTGTTTCGTTATTCCTTAACTTTACATACTAAAAACACGAACTGCAACCTTTAATGGCATCTGTGATTGTTGGATTGTGGTGGCTGTGTTTGTTTTATTTTAATTTAATTAACTAGCTTTCATACAATGTTGGGGATCGTAAAGTGGGAGAAGAGAGGAGAAGAGAGGGGGGGGGGGGGGGGGGGGCAAAATCAACTGTAGAAAAGGCGGCACTCTTTTGGCCAATACAATTATTAGGTTTTTAGAGTTGCTAGCCAAGGAGACTTACACATCTATCTGTCATTTGTCTTTCTCTGTTTAAAAGGCGTCGCAGGCACGAATGATCACTTTCCAGGATAGTGCGTGATATTTAGCCTGCTACGTTGTGATATTGATGAGTTTCAGCAGACAATTAACTCCATCTTTTTATATTTTTCTTGGCCTGCCTCTGCCTCCCGATGTTTCCATTCTCATGTTGTAACCTCTTGCAACCGGTGATGTAAATTATAATTATCTAAATCTAATTATATCGTTGTTCCCATCATTCATCTTCGTATTTTTTTTTAAACAGTCTCTTCTTACGTTGACTGCATTTCTCAAACATCTCATTTCACACGTCCTTAGTTTCCGCTCTTGTTATTTTGTTAGTACCTAAGTTTGACATTGGCAACACAGTGACTTACATATGATCTGGTTATATCATGGACAGGTAAATGGAAGGGTTGATGCTTCTACGCCGGGTGGCTTATTGGTCCGCCAGGGGTCGTCTCTATCGCCGGTCAGAAAGTGTTTAGGTCATCGCAACAACACTGCACGAGCAATATTTGTTAGTCATCCCCATGTGGGGTGCAATTTTTCGTTATCTGAAGTCACACCCTGGCTTTTACCGGGAACCCTAAATATAGCCTGGCCATAAATATGGCCCAACGGCTGAACGGGGTTCTAGGGACCAAT